TATGGGAATCGAAAGGGCCAAAAAAGTATAATTCTAGAGGCCGTAGCTTCATTCGACACTTGGGTTTGGCATGCATTCTTCGGAGTTGCCGGATCTCAGAATGACCTCAATGTGCTTGGTCAATCCCCGGTATTCAACGATGTATTGCGAGGTCATTCCCCCCAGATCACGTACCAAATCAACAATATCATATACTCTGGTGCGTACTACCTTGCCGACAGAATTTATCCTAGGTGGACGACATTTGTGAAAACAATTCCGAATCCCCAATCCGAGAAGGAAAAAAGCTTTGCTGCCTTTCAAGAAGGTTACAGGAAAGACGTGGAAAGGTGTTTCGGTATCTTGTAAGCTCGTTGGGGTATTATTAGGGGTGCTGCTCGGATGTTTGATGAGGAGGTGCTGCGGAGCATTATGATGACTTGCATCATCCTCCACAACATGATTGTGGAGGATGAGTTTGATTATACTGCTGCAGATGTGTTCGAACCGGATCCCATGAACACGGCCTTGACAAAAATTTATGAAAGGCCGGTGGGACCAAATGGACATCCATTGGAGCACGAACCGTTACTTCGGGATGGTCGATTCAACAACCCCATGATTGATCGTTACCAAGAAATGCAATCTTCGTATGTTCACAAGAGGCGTCAAGTTGACTTGGTCGAGCACTTGTGGGAGATGAAAGGCAATCACAATGGATGAAGTCAAGATTAATGCCTTGTTTTGTATGTGGTGTGTTTGGAATTATGTTTTGTTTTTAATTATGTTTTATTTTGTGTGTGGTGTGTTTGGAATTATGCTTTGTTTTGTGTGTTTTTTGGAATAAAATAAGGTTGATTTTAATTAAACTTTGTTTGCATTTACAAAAGGCTAGGGCAAGGGCAAGAAAAAAAAAAGAATATGCAACAAAATATAAACAATTTAGAAATGCATGAAATAAAATGATTATGCAAGAAAAAAATAAATATGGAAGAAAATATAAACAACTTACAAATGTAAGAAAAAAAAATGATTGCATTTTACAAATATTGGAAGGAGAAGAGTTTGTATGAGGATTTGGTGTGGAAAGTGAATAAATTTGTTGTGTATTTATAGGGAAAACATCCATAATTTTTTAGATTTTTTTTTTAAAAAATTTGAATTTTGTTCGATTTTTTTTTTTTTTGCTCGCTGACGTCAGCGTGACATCACCGCTGACATCACCGCCTTCGGGCTGAAGCCCAGGCAAGATCTGCCCTTGGGCTTGCCCGGGCTGATTTTTCTGCGCTGGAGGTCCATTTTGAGCTGGGGGGGTCTGTTGCCCTGGCAAAATGGGCTGCGGTGGACATGCTCTAAGAATAATATAATAATATATTGGTATAAGATTCAATGCATCTCTATAAAATGGCAACCACAAATAATATAATGTAATTCTACACAAACTACGTATTTGCTTATGTGTCTTTGTGTTTGTGCTTTTTCTAATTTTGGGTTTGCAAGTAATAGAACTTTTTCTTGACAACAACAACAAAAGAGACACATCAAAAAATTTATTATAAAAATGAAAACAAACCCAATGCATTAATAAAATGCAGGCAATTCCAGACTTATTTCGTTTTAGAGCTGAAAAGTTTTAATTTATTTTGGTGAAAATGTTGGGAAATTGACAAACAATATCTACAAAGTTCTAATTGATTCACGGAATGAATTTAATGGGAAATTACTTCTCATGCCATTTTTCAAGGGATGGGAAATGAAATATTCTTTTCCCACATTTGGTAATGCCGAGGAAATGAAATTCAAGTTGGGAGGAAAGCTTTACTTTCCCCCTACTTTCTCATGTGTCAGGCAACCATTTTCCATATCTAAACTTACCAAACATGGAAAAATAATTTATTTCCATCTCCAAACTCCATTTCCCATGAATCAAACGAGGCAAGAGTTTCATTCCAAGTGCTCTGACAACCCGCATGTGTTCACAAATGCTACAGATGATTACATCCCACACAACAGAATAATTGTGTTAAATGATGTAATAAATAAATATATGACGGCATCAAAACCAAATAATACAATTTTGTTAGCTAAAAAAAGAAATCTCTATTACAAATTTGGAGAGCCACAAACAGGAATAGGATTTTCTGTGTCGACAGACTGAGAGAGAAAGTGCCATCAGCTTGGAACTACGGAATGAACGGCGGTGATGATCAAATGACCTTTTCAGTACGCTTTTTGCAGGTGGGCCCCCCAACCTCCCTACTTTCAATGTTCAATTGCGGTGACCTCGCGGGTCCACCTGCCACGTGTTTTCTACTGCAAGCGACCTTTGTCACAAACACACCTAATAACTTCCCACAGCTGGCAAGGACAATTCCGAGCGTTGCTCTGCTCCAAAAAGGTTCACAATAATTTAACAATAAACTATTTTTCATTAAAAAAAAATTAAAACAAGAAACTAGGACAATTTTCGAAAAGGAAAAGAAGTAATTTTACAGGCTAATTCTTTTCAAGTGTCGGAAAGTGTTTGATACCAATTGTTTTTCCAAAGATAAAGTATGTGTGTAGAATTTCATAGACATTTTCTTTCCCTTGTACTTTTTTGAATAGAAAAATATATCCACACTATTATCAAACCAAATTCAAACATGCTAACTTGCACGCTTCCATATCATTTACAATTTGCCTACATTTTTCATATTGGGGATTGGGATTAGATTTGAGACACTTTTCAATATACTAGAGAGAAATACTATTAAATTAATAAGTTTGACATGGTAATATTTCATTTGGTAAGTGTAGTAGAGAAATTTCACAAATACCCGAATGCTTTTATTAAATTACTTTCCAAATTGGCAAAGTTCATTACTTACCAGTCATAGTAGTATTTATGAAATTTCATAAATTTAACGCGCTGCATCAATGATAGTGAGTATTTATGAGTCTCGTTCATTTTTTAGGGAAGCTCGACATCAAACCTCCACAATTAATAGTAAGTATTTACGAGTTTTGTTGTCTTCTACTCAAGTCTGACACACAGTATAACTGTAAAGGGATTTGAAAAAGTTCTTCTTTAGCAGCTAACAAAATTTTCTAGGGAAGTTCGACTTCAAACTTTCACAATTAATACTAAGTATTTACGAGTCTCGCTTGTCTTCTACAAAAGCATGACACGTAATGTAAATGTATAGGGATTTGAAAAAGTTCTTCTCCTTTTGCAACTAACAAAAAGAATTTCAAGAGTACTTATCCAAACAATTTATTTTGTTGTAAATTATTTAAGTTTGGAGAAGGCAGGCAGGTGAAGGCGAAAGAGGAAGGAGTAATTGTGGGGGGGAAAAGGGTGAAATGGAGTGGAGGGGGGGGTTTTGCTGACATGGAAGGGAAAAAAGAGAGGACAAAAGAAAGCACTATCTTTTGAAGAATTGTGGGGGAATCCAACAGCGCGAAAGATCTCAAAGGCCACATACAACTTGTGGCTCACAAATCTCCCCCTTTGATGATGTGGCATTCCCCACCTCGTTAAACCCCACTACCATTTCACCCTTCTGTTCTCAAAACTCCTCTTCCTCCCCCCTCCCTCCTCCTCGATCAAACTCAAAAACCACACCAACTACAACAACATACGCAAACACCCAATCCACTTGGAACTCTGTGTCTTTGTGTCTTTCTTCGTTTCAAACACAAAGAGAGACTCTTTTATTGGGTTTTAATCAAAATTACTAGAATGTCTTCCGAGAGTGAAGGCCCCACGATAAAGCTCTTTGGAAAGACCATACCTTTGGCTTTGGCGCCACTGAACCATGAGGCTTCTTCCGCCATTGATGAGTCTTGTGGAGCTGTTGATTCTGATATTGCTGCCACTGCTTGTGGTGGTGGTGTTGAAGACTATTCTGATGACAAGCAAAAGCTTTCTTCTTCAGCTACTACTAATTCGCTTGAAGGGAACTCAACGAGAGTGGACAAGGTATGTTTGAGTTTCAATTATTTTCTATGAAAAGTTGCTGCTTTTTTTATATTCTAAGAACAACCCATCATTTATCAGAAGCTCAGAATTGTAAATGGGTTGATTTTACTATGGAGTTTGTGATTTTGGGATCTGATCTCACAATTGAAATAATTAATCATCCCTGATTGTTTGTAGTTCTTTAATCAAGATTGTCAATTTGGCCAGTGTTATTCTTGTGTTTTTCTGTCCTCTTGGTTATCTTGAGGCTGTCTATTTTGTGGTCATTGTGGGACTTGAGGATTACGTCATGATATTCGGATGCTGTATTTCAAGGATGTGTTGGATTTACGAGCCTTTTTCTGGATTTAGTTTGATTCTGTTCAAGATTTCCAAAATTGGGTTTTTTTTCAATATGATTAGTTGCACAAGTTTAAAGCTTTTTTGGTGAACATTTTAATCATTAAGTTCTCGTTGAGGATTAAAAGCTGTTTTAATGGTTTGGAGAGGGAACCAGAAAGCATGGATTAGAAAAAGCTTAACTTTTTAACACTGCACTTTAGCAGTAATTATGCTTTTGGTTATGGGACTTTTTCCATGGATTGATTTGCTTACTCTGTTTTTTCTCAGAAGCATTTATCCATTTATGTCAAATTTGTAGATTGACATGGCTGGCAAAAAATTTAGAGAGAAGAGAAAAGCGTTTTCTAGAATTTTCTTCATTTTGGTCAGGATTGAATTACTCTTGTCAGTTCAACAGCTTCTGATACTTCCCAGATGTGCTTTTGGTTTTTCTGCAGTGATATAAATGTTTTCCCCACAAGCCTGTTCTACCTTTTCTTTCTGAACAAACTTTTCTGTTTTGTTCAGTTTTCTATAACAACTCGTTTTCTTTTCTTTGGCTCCCTTCTTATCTACTTTTAATTCCCCTTGATGTGTTAGTAAATGGTAAAGTTTCTGAATAATAATAGAAGTTTATATGTATCGACACATGAAAGCTGATTGCTGTCTAAAATGGCTATCTACAAAGTTTCATAAATCAATGTATTAGCTGGTGTGCCCTCAACAATCTGTCTATCAGTAAGGAATAAGGATTATACATCAGACGAGATTTTTCATCTACTTTTATTCTTCTTTAGTTCTTTATGTTTTTAAGTCTAGTTCAGAGTTCCCTACATACTTTTGTTTCAATTTACTGAAAAAACAGCTGCAGCACTTTTCTGATCAGACCTTTTTGTTTGAAATATTAGGAAACAATATCAGAGAAGGAACTCACAGCTGAGAAGCAGGAAGATGATACGTCAGAGCAAATCACAGAAGACTTAAAAGCTCCTACAACATCATCTGGAATTAGCGAGAATCCAAAAACGCCATCAGTTGATAGAGAAACTTCATCTCTGAAATCCTCTAATAATGGAGACCAGAGTGAGGCCAGTTGCTCACAAGAAAAGACTCTAAAGAAGCCAGACAAGATACTTCCATGTCCTCGATGTAATAGCATGGACACCAAGTTCTGTTATTATAATAATTACAATGTCAACCAGCCTCGCCATTTCTGCAAGAACTGTCAGAGATACTGGACTGCTGGAGGAATCATGAGGAATGTGCCTGTGGGTGCTGGTCGTCGCAAGAATAAAAACTCTTCAGCTTCACAATATCGTCACATGTTAATGTCAGATGCTCTGCAAACAGCTCGTGCTAGTGCTGCAAATGGTGCACACAACACTACTTTGGGAAGCAATGGAACTGTCCTTACCTTTGGTTCGGATTCTCCTCTTTGTGAATCAATGGCTTCTGTATTGAACCTTGCAGAGCAAGCACAAAATTGTACTCAAAGTGGGTTCCATAGGCCTGAACAAAGAATTGGGGTTTCTTCCATACCAGGAGATAATAGGGATGCCCACTCAAGTGGATCTTCTATTACAGCTTCAAATTCATCAGAGAGGGGAGGCAAAGTTGGTTTAGAAGAGCCAGCGATTAAAAGCTGTCAAAGCTTCCCTCCTCAAGTACCATGCTTTCCAGGCTCCCCTTGGCCTTATCCATGGAACTCAGCTCAGTGGCCCTCTGGAATGCCTCCACCTCCTTTCTGCCATTCAGGCTTTCCAATATCATTCTACCCTGCACCACCATATTGGGGCTGCACTGTGCCGGACTCTTGGAATTTACCAAGTCTCTCCTCACCATCCTCTACTCTTAGCTACTGTGCTACAAGCTCTGGTCCAAATTCTCCAACCTTAGGGAAACATTCGAGAGATGGGGACATTCTTAATCCAGCCAGCTCCCAGAACGAAGATCACGTGAAGGACAACACTTCAGATAGATGTGTTTGGATTCCAAAAACATTAAGGATTGATGATCCAAGTGAAGCAGCAAAGAGCTCCATATGGGCAACATTAGGCATTAAGAATGAAAAGGGAAATTGTACTAATGAGGGAGGTCTCTTCCAGGCATTTCAATCAAAGGGAGACGAGAAAAATCATGTGGTTGAAGCATCTCCAGTGCTGCAAGCCAATCCTGCAGCCTTGTCCCGGTCACTGAACTTCCATGAGAGAACATGATCACAGCTGAAGTTAGAGTTGTGAACTTTCACAAGGTGATGGGAGGGAGTTTACCTCCCTGCCACCTTTTGCTGCTGACAAATTTTACCATAAGCCAATATTGTTGATCACCCTTGGTGCTGGAACTTCTTTCCTAGAAGTTACAGCATACAACCGATAATCACTTTGTAGGAGAGCAAAGCTGTTTCTGACTAGATCATATAGACTTCTTATTTTTGGGTTAAATCTGTGTAACATTATGGACAGGTATTTTTTATTTTCACCTTAGGTAGATGGTTCAGCAAGTGTTTGTATACATACTTATGTGAGGTAGCATAAGATAGCTAATAAAAAGATGCATCAAAATCCAACATTTGTTGAATAAACTTCATTTTTCTCATATGCTTTCTGTAGCTGCTACAATGGAACATGTTTGTCTCTTGTTTTGTTTTTGACCAAACCATGGAGACTACAATGACATAGATTTTCTATTTTCAGTGTTTAGAATTTTAAAATGTAAGAAAGCTAGTGGGGAATTAGTTTAGAAAACTGAGGATTCAAAAGATATTATAAAGAAAAGTCTTTGTTGTAGGCCCCAAATTGTGGAGATAAGCTTTGAACTAGTGTCAATACGCGAGGCATCTATCTCTTTCAAAAACAAACGAATCCAAATTTGTAAAATACCAAAAAGTGTAATCACTCTGAGCCAAGTATATCCACAAACACAAAAAGTGGCTTTTCCTTTTTCTAGCTATTTCACTTTCTTGGATAATATTTCAAAATCACACTCCATTTATGTATGCGTCTCTCATCCATCCTCCAACCGCAACATTCAGATATTTCCTTGTCTTTGTTGTCACTAGCAGCCCACAATTTCTCCACAAAATTAGTTGTTGTGGGACCCATGCATGTGATTCCAACACAAAAAATTTAGAATTTTCACATATATACTTCTATGTGGACATTCAAATGAACTTATTATTATGTGGGCATTATTGAACGTTCAAACGTTATTATCGTGTGAATGTCATTGTAGACAGAAAGTAAAGCAGGGAGGGATAGTAGAAAATAAATGATATATGCATAGTACTAACGTCCAGACGTCAGCATAGGAAAATATCTGTGTAAGTATTTATCACATACTAAGAAACACAAACAATAGAAAATCATAATATCCTGATTTTAGCATTTATCGGTCAGTAATATATGTGACATTCATCCAAATATCCATGAAAACTCATGTGGTCCTCGTCTGTTGCATGCTAATATCCAACCTTTCAAGCAACCAAAGTAAAGTTAACATCAAACCTTGCTCATTATTATGCTCTTTATTGGTTTTCGTATGATTTTTCATTATTATGTGCCAATTGGTTATCCTTTGATTTTTTTTTAGAATTAAAAAAGATAATGAATAGTTGTGTTCCATAAAAATAAAACTCATTATCTGATTTTGTTTTTAAATTTAATTTTTTTTTTAATATGAAAAAAATGCAAATTTACCATATTATCCTCATTTAATTAATAATTTCAATTCTTCATGTTTGCATTACCCAATGGTATTTTTCGGTACTTTAAATATTTCACCAGCCTTTTACTTTATATATAGATACAAGATAATACCGAAAAAGGTTGCCTGAGTTGAAAACAATTTTTCGTTTTTTTTTTTTTTTATGTTTGTTTGAATAGAAAAGTTCTCCCAGACCTATGAACAACCTTACTTAGTCCCTGTCCAAAATTGTTTTCGTAAGAAAAAGGCAATTAAGAAAAATATGTTCTTCTTTAAAGAAAGAAAAAAACTGTAGTGAGGAAAAGCCTAGTCTAACTTTTTTCCGTTAAAAGAGCTTTTAATTCTTAATAATGTGTACTTTGTCAATCTTTTCAATGTTATCTTAATATATGGCATGCATGCCTAGCAATATATCATTAAAAGACTCTATCCCTTCGGGAAGCTTAAGCTTTAAGGTGTTACATTTATTCATTGATAAGGACTTCAACTAAAAACCTAGTTAGAACAACTCCAATTAATCTCCAACACATTTCCATCTTAGAGTTTCAGAAAAACAATTTTCAAAGACACCACCAAAACCCACTTTGCTTTCATTTTATTTGTTTTTTTTTGTTTTTTTTATTTTGTATTTTTTGGTGTTTAAATGCACATGAGTCTGACATGTCGTTTTTTTATGATGCATCATGCCTCGTTATTAGGTGAGAGTTCCTGTGTTGTGCCCTAGGTGAAATGGTGGGCGCAATTTTATCATGAGATGTTGAATTTTAGTTTATGGCACGACTTTGTATGACAAGGTTCAATTGGGATGGATGGATGACTGAGTGACATGATGAAACCTATCATATTATTTCCACTAAATTATGTTGGAGAGTAAGTGCTTGGAAAAAGTTTCAGAAGAAAGGTTCCTTTCATGGGAAAAAGTGGGGAATGCACCTTTTGGAGTTCCATCCAAAAACCAAAAGCTAGATGGAACTTTGATTGCTTGTTACCATACATCTACTTTTCTTATTTTAGGTAGTGGGAAAAGACTCCAACTGAAGATAAGTTAAAAAAAACAACATTGTAAGACATTCACTCTAGATAAATCAAAACCCAAAAAGGGTAATCAGTCTTTGTTTTTTATAAAAATGATATTCTATTTTAATTTAATCTCAATTATAGAGAATCGGGTGCAAAATGAGGAGCACATCCACTCTAACCAACTTGATTAAACAATGTCTTCTTATTAATTACTGTTAATATTTGTTCTTAACATTACACATTTTGTAATTAATTAGTTACCATTTACAAATTGAGAGTGGAAAAACTAAAAACCAAGAGAAATTAATAACAATGATGGGCTTTAAAGCTTTCATGCCCGATCCGAGTTTGAAGTTGGGCCCGAATTATCTAGCACACCTTAAGACCTTGTTTCTGCTTTATCCATGGATCAATAAACTCAACTCAATTGAGTTGCCTTTGTTTTCTTAGGATTCTTTTATTCGATATTAGAAATCAAGCCAATGAAAAGTCCATAATCCATTAAGTTGGAAATTTGTTTCGTTTGGGTCCGAAAGATCCAGGAACAAATAGGAAGGATCTGAAGGTGAGGAAATTGGACATATATAGGCCCTCAGAAGGCCCCCAAAGTGCCACAACACAAAGTCTACAAGGGGAGGGGACCTCTTGTGAATTATTATGATGTAAATTATGAGCATAAAGTCATTGGTTTAAACTGCGTTGTTTCTTACGCACAAGAAGAAAAAAAAAGGTTGTCCCTCCCAATTTCCTGGAAGTTTCAGAATGTTCTTGGAATTCCCCAGGAGAAATAACAGTCGGTCGCGCGCTCACATGTCAAGTTTTGGAAACTTCCAAAAGCCAAGCACTTTGGAGAAAACTAAAATAATTATATATGGATGCATCATGCATGTGATGTGAACCTTTAGCTTGGCTTGGAAGCTGTTTTTTTCTCTTTGCATGACCCTATGAGGAAACCAGTAGAAAGAAGATTTGGTCTGGACTGGAGGAACCAAAGCGGTCATCAATCTTTGTTTGAAAATTATAACTTTATTAAAATATAAAACCTCTTTCTCTTAGAAAGTCTCTAGTCCTAGAGTCCTTTTCCTACTAGGAATAGGAGTGGCTTTTCTGTTTTAGTCAGTCTGTTCGAATTAATTCTTGTGCATCCATCCATCGTCTTCCAGGAAAACTAGTGGTGACTTGACACAGAAGTTAAAGACGTTGACGCTTCAAACACAAGGCAATTGCTTTTTCTCATCAATATAACAGTGTCGAAGCCTTGGTTGTACTTAAGATACAAAGCCCCATACTTTTTCTCTGCATTAATATTATCAACTTATCCATGGAGGACGTACAGAACTTTCTCCAACCCCTTGTGAAATTTGTCTCCACCAGATGGAAGGTTTGGACCAAAACACACAGCCTCAGTTCTGAATTACCACCAACCCATGAGCCTCTCTTTGGCAACAACAAGGCACACGATGAAACAGAACTAAGCAGAGAAGAAGTAGATATGGTGATAGGCCGGCTAGGAATGTGTTATGAACATGAGGCAGAGGGAGACAATATTGGAAAGAGGGTTGGCGCAGAGGAGCTTTGGAGACTGTTCGATGAGGAGGAGCCCAGCCTGGAGGAGGTGAAGGAAGCCTTTGATGTGTTTGATGAGAACAGAGATGGGTTTATAGATGCAGCAGAGGTACAAAGAGTTTTAAGCAATTTCGGTTTCAAGGATGCATTCGGATTGGACGAATGCCAGAGGATGATTAATGCAGCAGATATGAACCAAGATGGAGTGATTGATTTTGATGAGTTTGTGAAACATATGGAGAACAGCTTTTGTTGACATCTTAATTAATTCCTGTTATTTTAGAGTCCGTATTTTGTGTTGTTTCCTTATAAAATAATAATTATTGGAATTTTGGTTACTCATCTTATTATTTTCTTGTTGTCCTTAGAAAATAAGGCCATATTTGGTATCCTACTCAAAAAAAGTAAACTAAAAAATTATGATTATTTTTTAAAACATGAGTTTTCAAATAGTGATTTTAAGATCTAAAAACTTGTTTGGTATTGAACTCCAAACTATTTTTAAGATCTAAAAATAAAAATAAATTAAAAATCAAAAAAATCAGAAACCTTAATCCCCAAATTAAAATTAACAAAAGAAAAGGAAAAAGATGTGCGGCATAAACCCTATCAATTTTGGTGGTGTGCAACAACTCCCCGACGCCGCTTGAACTTGCTTCGATGGTTTTGGTGGTTATTGGTTCACAAAGACAAGCCCAATTGGGTGCCATATGAGTGAGAGAGAGAGAGAGAGAGAGAGAGAGAGAGAGAGAGAGAGAGAGAGATTTGGGATAGGATATGGCAATACATCCCCTTCCTCGCCCCCATCCCCGATAATAATTTTCAGGGAATCCCCGTCCCCGTCAAGGAGCTTTCTCCCAAACCCGCATCGAATAGGGGTGGTCACAGTCCGATTCGGGCCCATTTTTGCCTCATATTAGCATCGAAACTGGTACTATTTATCTGGTTTGGTTCGGTCTGATTTTAATAAATAAAAAATTATAAAACTATTCGATTTGGGTTGAACCAATTTCGGTCCGATTTCGGTCTTGTTCGGTTTTGAACCAGTTTTTTTTTCTTTTCAAATTACTCTTTTTTTTAAAATACAAATTTCAACTGAAATTTTATTTTTTTGGCTTGAAAATTAACAAATTATCCAATTTCATACAAAATAAATATTGGGGCTAGAAAAGAGAGTTGTTTTGAAATTGAGCTTAGGTAAATATTAGTTATGACATTAAAAATATAGCATTGGATATACATAAATATTAAAATTATATATATATTTAATTTGGCAGGTCCAGTTTGGCCCGGTTTGGTTTGTTGGGGTATAGAACAGGAATGAGAACCGGTTAGAATTGGTTCGGTTCGTTTTTTAAATTGGGTTTGACTTTTTGGTCAACACGATTTTTTCCGCTCCAGTTTGGTTATCAGTTGATCGGTTCTTCAATTCCAATGCCCACCCCTAGCCCTGAATCCCCGATTTTTTTTTCCTTAAGATTGCCCTTATTCTTTTCCTCTTTCTTCACCGTCCTAACCATCTTGTCATCTGCTTCTTAAAGCCACCATCTATCATGACGGGTTCGGGGATAGGGATAACAATACCATCTCCGTCTTGGAACCAATCGGGGATTTTTAAAATTCTGGGATCCCCGTACCCATTCTCGATTTTTCCCCGAAATATCCCCCCATTAGGGTCGGGGACCCGATTGGAATTTTTGCCATCCCAAGAGAGAGAGAGAGAACAACAAACAACCTATATAACTTAACTTTTTTTATTTTTAATAATGGGGTGTTTTTGAATTCTTTTTTGGGTTTGAGTTTTTAAAAAAGGGCCTACCAAATAAGGTTTTTTGAACTTAAAATTTGTTATTGAGTTTATAGAAAATTTGGCATAAGTCCAATTATGATGAGAGATTTTGGGTGCAATCCACGCAGAAATTGTTGTTGATCCAAGTCCTTTGACTTTTGCGCCATATAAGATTACATGCCTATTTCAATTTATTGATATTTTCTTTTTTTTTTCTTTTTTTTTTGGTTCCAGTTATGCACCTAAAACATAAATAAGGTAAATTATGAATTCCTAAAACTGGTAAGTTATTGATTTGTAGGATATTAATTATCATATTTGATTCTAATTTAATTGCAAATCTATTTATTGAATTCTGAAATTTTCCCAAGGTATACCGACATCAAAATTTGTAATAAGAGTTCATAAAAACTTCATACCTTAACAATAGGTAAGGTACCTATGCATACAACTCGTATGCTGCAGGTAATTAAACCCATAAATTACATATAGTCCAGGTAATTAAATCCATAAATTACCTCTAGTCTAGGTAGTTATACCCTCTAGCCCAGCTAATTGAACTCATATAATATCTTGGTATGGATCTTTAAACCCAACTGAGATAAAAATCCATACAAAATTTCTTTGGAAAAAAAAAAACACACTATTATATGGAAGACATGTACGTATGTATATAAATATGAACCTCCAGAAAAAACTGCTTAAGAAAACTCAAGAAAAAAACACTTACCTGTAAGGCAGGTACGTATATACCTGTATGTATTAACATTATTTACCTATATGTCAGGTACATAATTTAATGTGGGTACTTGTCTGATCGATTGATATAATATGTGAGTCTTTACTTTTTATTGATTAAATTGTATTTTATCTATATATTAGGAATATTATCAAGGAAAAAAAATTCAAAATTCAAAATTTGGAATTCAATTTCAAGGAAATAATGCATTAAATTTAGATTTTCAATGTGTTTTCTTTATTTACCTTAAAGGGTAAAATCGACACAACAAAAAAGTAATAAATGTCAAATGACCTACATCTAAAACCAAAAACACGAGGACTAGACCCAATGACAGCTAATCATTTTGGACTTAGATTTAAGATCCCCTTGAGCTTATAAAATTGGATCCAAATAGGATACTAAACGGGCCCTAATTGTTTCCCTATTCTTAAAGAATTTGTTTTCAATTGTTAGTATATAGAGGCCACTTCTCATCATCAATTCTTTCCTTGTTCTTTTGTTCTTTGTTCCGCCTTTTGTTTCTGTTTCAAAGTTATAGTCATGTCCAGTTTTAACTCTAATAAGAAACTTTGTCGTAGGACCCTGGCTGTCAACTTCAGAAGTGGGGGATGGGCAAGTCTTCCAGTGCTCGTCTTTTTTATTATGGATAAGTTATTAGAACCATTGGCCGACCCAATGAAGGACTACTGTGGGCACTTGCCCACACTTACAAAAAAGTTGCAGCTGTATAATCCTACCCAAACTTTTTTTTTTTTTTTTTAGGTCCTTCTTAAGTGGAGCCTCAACATGGCCCATCCAATACATACACTTTAAGCCCAAAGCTTATATTAAAAAAGAAAAACCCTATGTTATAAAAGAAGAATAGAGATCCCACCAAGTTCACTCATTCTGTAATTTTGTGGAGAACTCAGCCACCAAGTTCACTTTAAGCCCAAATATTTTTTATTTGGCTATATATCGGTTGGATTTTTTTTAAGCCCCCGATGAACGAAAGTCTGGGTCCGCCACTGATTAGAACCCATTGACCATGTTCGTTTTGCTGCCCGTTTGCAAGCAATGGCATTCTATGTCCAAACTCTATAATCATGCAACGCAGCGGTGACGTAATAAACAACTTCCCCTCATGCTCTTGATCCCGAACAACGACGGCGACCGAGGAAGAGTGTTGTACAACATTTCTGAAGGAATAATCTACACCAATATTGAATTGCAAGTGTTGTGGCTTTAGCCGTGGTTGTTTGGCCACAGTAGATCCAACAACAGACCAAGGTCTGATCATAGCACTCAGTAACCGTTTCACCAAAGCAAAGCCCATTCTTCTCCCTCCCTTTATAGGCCGTGTCAGAGAATATGAAAGCTCCTACTACGAGCATTATGTTCGTAAGGTTATCTTGTGCACTGATCCCGCTCTTAATCCGAAGAATTATGTGGTTGTAGCACTTTACTATAGCTGGTTTCGGTTAGTTTTCATCAAGGCAGGGCAAAGCTCTTGAACTTACCTCAAGGATGGATGTTTATATGGTGATGTTATATTTAAAAAAAATAAAGTATACGCAGTTAGACAACTTGGAGTGATTTGGTCAATTGATGTTTGTAGCAATGATATTAAAAACTCTTCACAGCTAAAGCTACTCACACATCCAGAGCCATTCCAAGATTATGGTTTTCATGCATATCATGTGGAATCAACTAAGGGAGACTTATTGCATATCCTAAGAAATTATGCGCTAACAGACGTTTTTTTAAAGCATAATAATAGGCGGACTACGGAGGTTTACAAGTGGGTGTTCGACGATGAAGATGGATCCATTGGGCACAAGGTTGAGTTGAAAAGCATTGGAGATGAGCCTCTATTTGTGGGCGACAATGATTCAATCTCTGTTTTAGCTTCAAAGTTTCCTGGATGCCAGTCAAATTCCATACATTACACTGATAATTACATATCAGGTTATCCTACGTTCAATTGTGACCAAGCATATGATATGGGTATCTTCAATTTGGAGGACGGAACTATCACACAACCTTACCCTCTACGTACTAATTCTCAGAGAGCTATTTGGGTTGTGCCACCCTTTCATGGACTATGTTAGCTTCTAGTTCATCTTACAATTCATGGCTTGTCCCTCGATTAGTTACAATGTTTTCGGAGGTTTCTCCTTTATTTATGTGTTGTACAATTATAACTCTTTGCTTTTAGTGTTGTTTGATGAACTATGTTGGCTTCTAACTCATCTTACAATTAATAGAAGTTGTGTTTTCGGAATTTTAATTTAAATGACGGATAAGCTAATGCATTTTAAAAAGTGTTTTAACTAATTCACATATTTAAACCATGTATGTTTAAATGTTGTCAGAAGTTGTTTGATGCATTCTCATATCTTGAAAATACAAATTCATTTTTTGAAAACTATTTGAAGAAACGTCACGAGACGAGCTCTAAGTACATGAGTTCAAGCTGAAATTGGTTATAACATCCAACACACCACCACCCGCTTCGCATTTGTTTTTATCTAATTGTATCAAAACATAGAAGACTTGCATATACCAGGTGTAACTCTTGATCGGCGGATGAAGAAGTTTACCAAGTTTAACTCCTTATCGAGAAAAGGTTAATTTAGTACATAGGAGCTTTCGAAACTGTTTGATGAGGAGGAGCCCAAATAAGCCCAAGACAGGCTCAAGTAAACAATAGCCTCCGTGAAAAGGAACAGTCTTGAGATGGAAA